CCGGATGGAGGCGTGGTGTTTAGGGATTCGTCAGGGTTTAGGGTCTAGGGTTTAGGGTTTAGGGTTTAGGGTTTAGGTTTTTGTTGTATGCAGACGCGAAGGTGGGGGACTGGGGCGGAAAGAAGCTGGAGTGGCAGAGCAACACGCGGCTGGAGACAGCTGTCGATACACCCGAAGCCAAGCGCCTCGCTCAGTGGTGGGCGGAGGTAAGACCAAAGCCCCAAACCTCCCATGCATGCATGCATGCATGCATGCATGCATGCATGCATGGGTGCATGCATGCATGGATGCATGCATGCTGTTATCTGCTGCATCTGGCATCAAAAAAACTCTGTCTTTCTGTCTCTGCTGCTTGTGCTGCTGCTGCTGTTGCTGCTGCTGCTGCTGCTGCTGCTGCTGCAGACTGGCAGCAGCTGCAGCAACTTTGTTGCTCTCGGTGGGGGCCTCGGGGGTTCGAGCCGCAACGAGCCGCTTAAAACCCTCGATAGAATTTCTCACGAGGCAGCACAAGCAGAGCCAAGTCTCTGTAAGTTGCTGCTGCTGCTGCTGCTGCTGCTGCTGCCGCTGCTGTTGCTGCTGCTGCTGCTGTTGCTGCTGCTGCTGTTGCTGCTGCTGGTGCTGTTGCTGCTTCTCCCGCTGCTTTTGTTGCTCCGGCTGCTGCTGCTGCTCACGCTGGTCTTGCTGCATCTACTGCAGCTGCTGCTGCAGTCGTTGCTGCTGCTCTTGCTGCTAGTGCTGCTAGTGCTGCTGCTGTATTTGTTGTAACTGGTTTTGCTGCACTTCTTTCTGCTGCTGCACTTGCTGCTGCTGCTGCACTTGCTGCTGCTGCTGCACTTGCTGCTGCTGCTGCACTTGCTGCTGCTGCTGCACTTGCTGCTGCTGCTGCATTTGCTGCTGCTGCTGCTGCTGCACTTGCTGCTGCTGCTGCACATGCTGCTGCTGCTGCTGCTGCACTTGCTGCTGCTGGATATGCCTCAGTGTCTGAGAAGGGTCTTTTCTTTTCGACTATCGCCACAGTGGAGCGCATTGCAGACGACCGGTTCTCTTGGCCGTAAACCCTAAACCCTAAACCCTAAACCCTAAACCCTAGACCTAAACATTGAGTCGTGGATGCTTGAACTGATAGAAGAAAACCCTCACTCTAAAACCCTGAAGAGTTTAGAATTTGGCAACACGAAGGTTGCGGGTGCTGCAGCTTTCCATTTGTCGCTGCTTCAGTTGCTGCTGCTGCAGTTGCTGCTGCTGCTGCTGCAGTTGCTGCTAGCGGGCTCGTTATAAAGTATCAGTGCAGCTCTGTGAGGGTTAGTTGCTGCTGCATCTGTGGGGAAAACTTGCTTGTGTTGCTGCTGCTGCTGCGTTTGCTGCTGCTGCTGCTGCTGCTGCCGCTGCTGCTGTAGGGCTTGTCCTGATTGCCGTAAGAAGATGCAGCAGCCTCAGGAGGGTGAGGGTACGAGTTTGTGGCAGTGCAGCAGCTGCAGCAAGCAGTGTGAAGAACCAGTGGAGACATATCTTGTTAACCTAACCCTGACCGACACCAGTGGTTCTCTCAGAGCTTCACTTATAGCAGAGAGAGCTGAAATCCTTATGGGGGCTATCAAGGCAGCGCAGCTGCGGCAGATGCAGCTGCAGCAAACCCTAGACCCTCAAGGCCGCAGCTTCAACGATGTATTCACTGACGCATCTCTCACCGTAAACCCTAAACCCTAAACCCTAAACCCTAATGCTTAGCTGCAGATCTATACACCCTGATAAACGTTGGTATTTTGGTGCTTTGTGTCCTGTTGCTGGCCATACTCTACTGCTCAGGGTTTAGGGTTTAGGGTTTAGGGTTTAGGGTTTAGGGTTTAGGGTTTGTGTTTAGGAATGGTTCTTGAAGCTGCGGGCTGCGTCTGAGACGTATATGGATGAAAGCCGCATTAAGTTTAGGGTGATAGCAGCAGAGCCGCTGCAGCAGCGGCTGAAGGAAGCAACAGCAGAGTCGCTGCAGCTGGTTGAGCGCCTGCTGCAGACTGTCAAACCATGTCAGTGAACACAGAAACACTAGCTGCTGCTGCTGCTGCTGCTGCTGCTGCTGCTGTTCTTGCTGCACCAGCAGTATTTGCAGCTGCTGCTGCGGCAGATGTTGGAGAAACAATAGCAGGTGCTGCTGCAGCTGCAGCTACTGCTGCTGCACCAGCAGCACGTGCAGCCGCAGCATCACCTGCAGAAGCAGCACCAGCAGCAGCAGCAGCAGCAGGATGTGCAGCGTTTGCTGTAGTGGCAGCTCTGCCTACCGGCCGCGTTCCTCGATTCTGCTACCTTCACTTTTGGAGGTTCCCCTTGAATACCTGAAGCAACCAAATCAATATAACCTCTTCAGCTTTCTCGTGTATATATATATATATATATATATATATATATATATATATATATATATATATATATATATATATATANATATATATATATATATATATATAGATATATATATATATATATATTGTACATATACACATGTACAGGATGGAACATTGGGACTTAGGGTTTAGGGATTAGGTTCTAGGATATAGGACTTTAGGGTTTGGAGTTTAGGGTCTACAGCTCAGGATTGACTACTTAGGGTTTAGGGTTTAGGGTTTAGGGTTTAGAAGGGAAAGCGTCGCTGTGGCAGTTGCTGGCCGCGGAGGAACGGAGTGCTGCAGCTGCAGCAGACGAGCTGAAGTGCCGCACATATATAAGCCCATATAATTCTATGAATGCAAATACATGTATTCTATACAAAGAGCATCTTTGCCTCTTCACTGCATCGGTGTATTGCAAGCAACGATGCTATCTGTGCAGCATGTTTGTATGAAGCTGCTACGCGTATATATCTACTGGGTTCAGGTTTTTCTACTGAGAGCCATCTACTCGATGCCTGTGCATGCATCCAAGGGGGCTAGGGTACGCTTGGGGCTTGGGTACGCTTGCATGTGGGGCCCCCTTGCTCCAGCTGCTCCATCTGCTGCAGCTGCTGCAGCAAGGAACGTTGAAGAAAGCTGCAGGAAGGGAGGAGTTTGCCTCTCAGCGTTTGCAACATCTCAGGTCCACGCTCTTGCGCTGCTGGGCCCGAAATGCCTGAAACCTTCTGCGGGGATATCAGCTTTTTTCTGAGATTCTGATCTTACTTTTTCTGAGTCTCGTTGTGAGTCTATTGCCAGTCACAGAGGTCCTCTGTTGCGGCCTGCGGCAGTCGGCTCGGTACACCTTCTAGCACTTATCGGTCATCAGGCCAGGTGCAAGCAACGAACCCAATATCACAGCTTGCCAGCTTTCCAGCCTGACGCATAGCATGGGTCATGCTATGCATCAGTCTGGCAAGCTAGCAAGCTGTAAGGGTGACGTGGCAGCTAGAGAGAAGTTAGATATTCTCTTTTGAATTTTAATCAAAATTCAGACTTTCTCCGCTCCAGCAGCTGATAGTTGTAGCATTCTCTATGTGAAGTTGATGTGAGTATCCCTACTTGCCCTCAGGCTGCCTCTGAGGGCCAAGGGAGGTCTCAAAAATCCTTTGCAGTGTTAATGCATGCAGTAATGGGGCCTGGCTGTGCATACACTCGAAGTTGTGTAGCAGGACAGTTGCAGCTGGGTGTGAGAAAATCCCCTACAGCGGGCTAGCTAAGGGGAATTTTGAGCCTTCGAGATCACGGGGCCCAGGCCGACCAGTCAGGTTATAGCATTGGCCAGAATCTGCCCTACGGCGGTGAGGCAAGAAGCAAAAGGGCGTCTCGTTGCAGTGGAACGAGCGCAGAACCACAGCAGCTGATCCAGCCCAGACTGCTTTTACAGTGAAATCAATATATGGAGAATGGCTCCGCCATTGCTAAACGTGTAGACATGACGGGTGAATCGATGCGGGGGAAGTGCAGAACTTCCTTTATATTCTGGAGTCTCACGTTTGCCTCCAAAATGCAGCTAAATACCTAAAATTACTGTTGGCACCTGTATTATTAGAAGCGAAGGTACAACAGTGGTTGCTATATCTATGAAATAAAACCTTGCTTCAAGAGAAGATCCGAAGTACGCAAGCTTCTCCAGATGCGCTGGGATGTATGTTGGAATGTTCCTGGTGCACAGCGTAGCCCAAACCGCTCGACTGTAGATTCATACTGACCCATACACGTGCAAAATGCTGTTTTTTACTTGACTTCAGGAGTCATCCGGATTTGCTGTAAACCTTGTCCCATGTGCTTACTAGTAAAAAGTGGGGGAAAGGCCCAATCGTCAATTAATCATGTATGCAGGGTTCCGCGCCTGCTCAGATAGAAACAGACGATTCCGGAGCAAATCCTGGACGCAGCACGATACCAACCATACAAGATCACTGAGAACCACAGGGAAGCGGGTGACTCACTGATGAGGGTGGTGCCCAGTTCCGAGGGTCCCGAACACCCCTTAGCTGGCCTGCTGTAAGGGAGTTTCTCACAGTAAGCTTATTCCATACCTACAAGCGACTGCTGCGGTCAATGCAGCAGTGCAGCGGGTGATCAGATCTTTTTGGTGGCCTGCAATGCGCCCCCCAGAGGAGGAGTTTCTCCTCAGTTCTCCGTGGGGTCGGCATCAAAAGCCACGGGACAGCCGCAAATGCCAGGCCGGAAGCTTAAATGGGCTTCCAGTTTAAGAAGGTGACCAGAACAACATCCCTAAACCAATACATCACACTGGAATTACCTTCTTTCAGGGGCTCTGATAGTGTTTAAATTGTTTTGGATACACTCGCCCAATATTTGCACTGCATCGTCTGTTCAAGTTCACTGACATCGGGGTGGGAAGGCCCAATCGATCATTAATCATGTGTGCAGAGTTCCCGGATTTTTGAATAGCATAGTTGCTTAGATGGGACTGACTTTTGCTAGCCCATTCTGGAGCAAATCCTTGAGGCAGCGTGATAGCGACCATACATGACCACCGCGAACCACCCGGGAGTGGGCGGTGTAGTGCGGCGCTCTACAGTCTCAAGGTGTATGGTGAATATGGCATATTACGAAAGAGAGAGATCAATTATAACTAATAAATACGTAGAATTACCCGTAGAATAGGCATTAAAAAATTAGAGTAAACCGCTAAAGTGGTGTCAGTAAGAAGCGGGTCACTGACACCGGACGACCTCGACTCTCTCCGCGTATCGCTCAGGCTGGATAGCTAGCGGACTCCACCGCGCCCATTAGAAGCAACAACAACAAACACTTCTTTTCATTTTACCTTTACGCCGCAGCTGTGCATAGGGCATGACCGCAAAGTCCAACTTGTCCAACAGCTTCCCGCTCCATGGGGAATGCTGACCCGCACGTGATGGAGCTTAGATCCTGTGCCGTGTCTGGCACGCCCTCATACGCAGACGGCCATGTTGAACGTGGTGGGCTGCTGCTGGAGCGGCAGCTCCTCATGCTGCTGATTCTCGGGCTCCGGCTCCGGATGCTGCGGCCACGGCAGCTGCTGTTCTCCTCTCAGGTGCCCGTCCCGGCGATGATACAAGAGGGGAATTGTTAAAAGGGGCCGTATATGTAATCGCTATCAAGTCATGTATGTGGATGAGTGCAATCAGCACGTCGGTTGCCGCATCTGACTCGAACGATGAGGCATGATGAGGCATCCATCCCGCCGCCACAACGGTGCCTCGGCACCGGGTGAATACGCTGGATCGCAATGGTAGGCAACCGAAAAGCCTGAATAAGCTGGCCTGCAACAGAAACGGCAAATAGCGGCAGAGGAAAAGTGAAAAGAGAGGAAAGGCTGGACGAAAGCAGCGAAACTGCTGCGCTGCCGGCCCGACCAGGGCCACAGCTGGTGGCTAGCTAGAGTGGCACCTGACGCCGCTCCCGGCGCTGCCGTTGGGCTAAAAAATGAGAAAAAAGGCTGCTTTCTGGTGTCTGGATGCTTGATTGCAAGCCATCCAGCACCAATGTAGTTGAAATTACCCGTCCCGCGGCACCGGGTTGCCGCCGACTGGGCGCCTGAGAAAGCCCCAGCAAAGGTACTGCTGGTCGGCAGCGCCCTCCCGCGACCTAGCGCGTCGTGTGTAAGGGAGAAGATCTAAATAAGGAGGCAATGTAAATAGCCTCCGGGGGCATCGGCGAATAAAAATAGAATAAATTGCAGGGATCCGCGTAGGGATCCACTAACAGCGATCAAATATAGAGAACTGATTGCGCTTACCGTGGCACCCGACTTCCCTTTGCCGCCGATCTCTACCATCTTAGAAATGTTGGGAGGGGCGAAGTTCTTCTCGACCTTGGACCTTGAATCCGGATTTTACCAAATCCGGATGGCTAGGGAAGACCGGTGGAAAACCGCCTTCCGTTCCGTCCTGGGATTGTTCGAGTATAAAGTGATGCCCTTCGGCTTGAATGGAGCGCCTGCGACATTTCAAGCAAACATAAACACATACCTGCAACCCCTTTTAGGACAGGGAGTTGTAGCCTACCTAGACGATATCCTGATTTATAGTCCTGATCTACCTGCACATGTGACCTTACTAGGAAAAGTGTTGCAAATGCTACTCCAGCATCAATTCTACCCTAAATTCTCCAAGTGGGTTTTTGCTAAGCAGGAGCTCACCTATTTGGGGTACACTATCAGCTCTGAAGGCATCAAGCCAGCTGCAGACAAAGTCGAAGCTATCCGGGAATGGCCAGAGATCCTGAACAACGAAACGCAAGTGAGACAGTTCCTGGGCACCGTCAACTATTGTCGGATGTTTATGGGCCCATCCTACGCAGCTGTCACACGACCATTAGTTGAACTAACTCGAAAGGGAGCGAAATTTCAATGGACTGAAGCACACACACAAGCAGTGCGACAACTTAAACAGAAGCTTACCGACTATACGACCTTACAAATTCCAGACACGTCCAAGCCCTTCGACTTATATACGGACGCCTCCGAATACGCCCTGGGTGCCGTTCTTCAACAAGAAGGAAGGCCGATTGGGTTCCTGAGCCAAACCATGACACCGGCACAGCAGAAGTACTCGATCAAGAGCTACTGGCTCTTGTCACTGCCCTAGATAAATGGTCACATCTGCTTCGTGCGTCTAAGGTCACAGTTTACACTGACCATCAAGCTCTCACTCACCTTCAACAGCTTAAAGCTTCAAAACCACTCCGGGGTCGGACTGCTAGATGGTTAGACTTTCTTGCGGAATTCCCTGGAATGACCATAACCTATTTGCCAGGTGCGGACAATCAAGTAGCAGACGCATTATCACGAGTTCCTAAAACACATGAACACACAACACCTCCTACCATGGAAGAGTCCCCTCAGTCTCCTCAGGATTCTTTGGCGCCTCTAGTGTCAACGGATATTCAAATGACTCCACCTCCTAAAACCAGGGGACGATCCAGATTTACGGATTATAGGCAACTTGCGGGCATCAGAGGACGTTCACAAGCCAGGCGGAAGGATGGCAGTACACCCGTTGAAATCAGGAACCAGACGCGGGAGCAGCCCATTCCACAACAGTCGACGACAATCACGCAGAAGCCGAGTACCCCTACACACATCCTTTACTGGCCATCCGCCTACAACAAGTGTCCTGTTTTCAGCGAACCTTATTTATCCGCCATCAAAACTCCAGGAGAAACCGTACATGTCGAGCTCCGACAACGTCGCTGTGGTTTCCGCTTCCAGCACCCATACCTGAGAATATGCCGCAATGGAATCTGGTTGATTTGCGTACCTCAGCTCCCTGAATTCCTAACCCACCTCCTGTACAGATTCCACGACCATGTGACTTCAGGCCATAGAGGACAAAGGAAGACTTTCTTAGNATGAGGGTGTATACCAATACTTACGTGGAGTCTTGTACACAGTGTCGCGCTTCCAAGGCCGCGTTGACCCGAGAGCGGACCGCAAACGGTCCAACCCATCGTGTGGCGGACCTTTTCGTTTGCTCGCGCTCATGCGCGCTACGGAGGGCGTGTGAATCCACTAGAACCAAGTCTCCCGGGTTGGAACTGACTGCGGAACGTCGTTTGTCGTAGTTCCTGGCTTGGCGTTCCTTTGCCTTTTTCATGGATTCCCTCGGTGTTGCAAGCTGTGTGCGGAAGCCAGCAGCAGCACTCGTTCGGGGCTGGCAACCAACAGCGAGGTCCAGCGGCGGGTCAACGACTGGAGTTTCTGTGTAGGTCAAGGACGCCGGGGAGCAGCGAGCGGACGAATTCAGTGTAGTATTATGAACGAATTCTGCGCAAGCGAGAAAGTCAGGCCAGTTAGATGAGGTCTGTTGGGTGTAAAGTCGCAAAGATCGCACCAGCGTGAGGTTAGTTCGTCCGGTCTGTCCGTCCGCCCCCGGATGGTTGGCGGTGGCCATGTTGTGGTCAACGTTGAGCCGTTGCGTGAGGATGCGCCAGAAGGCGCTAAAGAAATACAGTTGCCTGTTGGTAATGGAGCTTCTTGGGAACCCGCGGGGCTTCCACACATGATTCATGAATAGTTGAGCCAATTTGTCTGCTATGACCGTGCCCGAACAGGGAATAAAATTAGCGTATTGATCCACCGCAACATATATACTACCATGACCTCTGATGAGTGGTAAGCCCAGTATGAAATCCATGGCGATATCCGTCCGGATCCTATGGGGAATAGGCAGGCTATGCAGGAATCCAGGTTCAAGAGTGTTTCGCAGCTTTTGCTGATGGCAGTCCTGACGTGCCAGGACATATTCCTCGATTGAGAGGCCTATCACACGCCAGCAGAAGGAGATGGCAACACGCTTCATCGTTGTATTGACCCCACAATGACCTGCTATAGCATGGTCATGCATCTTGCGCAAGACTTCCGTGCGAGGCGAGGCTGGGACGCACAGTCTACGAAAAACAAACTTCGTCTGGTACCACACGAGATCTCCATCGATGCTGTTCAGGGTTTAGGGGCGCATTGTACACCCATAGTTTCGCAGCTTCTCGTATACTGCCCGCCGTCGGCGAAGCGTAGCCCCAGAGATTGCGCCAATGACGGGTAGGCTGCATGTCCCGTAGTAGGCTGCATATCCCGTATCGAGTAGGGGTAGTAACTCCTGTCCGTTAGTGCGTAGTCGTGCAAGCAATGAAATCATTCGATGTGGAACTGTGGGTGCGGCCGTTATCCCATGTGGCTCCATCACTGCGCCGCACGTTGCGCGGGGTCCGGGCGTCTCTCTCCCTCTTCTGTTTGTTCTGTGGGCCGCGCTGTTAGAGATTTGGTTTCAATTGTTCCCTAGCCCTTTTCCCAAGCCGGAAATCTCGAAATACGTGGCCCTGTTTACTGCAAAAGAAGTAAGCAAGAGCGGCGTTCGGCAATTCCTCGTTGCTTCTGGGTGTTGAGTTCACTGTCTGCTCTCGGTAGCTGTAGCTGCTTCTGTTTGGCTGGTCTTGTGTTCACAGCCCCAATATCCATTGGCTCCAAATAAGTATCATTCCCAGATCCTCTTTCTTCCCTTTCTGCTAAGGCAATGGAAGTGGCACTTTTTCTTTCATTTTGCGAAGGCACTCCATCGTGTCAACGAGCTCCACTCCTTCACCCCTCATTTCGCTGGCTGTAGCCCCGGTGGTTACTGATTGCCTTCCTCCGGGGAGCAGCCCAGCGATATAAACTAATTATAGAGCAGCACTGGGTCCACCATAGGGCTTCGGTTCATCAAGAACTGGTATTTCTCAGTGTGACGCTCTACATAGAGCCTCAATTGCTTAAGTTTTCTCAGTTCAGCCATAGCCTGCTCCCTTGTAGACGTTGGGGTAAACCTGCAGCGCAGCGCCTCCCGGATGACCTGCAAGGAGCTGATGTGCTCCGGGGTGTAGAGCCTTTGCTCAAGTGTAGATAGCATCGCCGCACATCCCCTTCTAAGAAGGAGGAGGCCACAAGTTGTTGGAATTTTTCTGGGGCATTTTGTACGCGGAGGTATAAGTCTAGCGAACTGAGGAACTCCTCTACAGCCTGTAACGCTAGTTCTCTGGCCTTGACCTGACCAGAGACGAGCCGCAATGAAGGCAAAGACTTAAAGTAA